AAATTATTTTCTCTTAGAAAAAAATACGAGTTGGGGGTATTTAAGATTGTAAAGGGAATTGATAGTGTTGATGCATCATCATTTTTTATATTTAACAATTAGAATAGTAGGACTAGGGAACACAAATATAAATTTGGGCATGGTAGGAGTCATCTTCAGCTAAGACAGTTTCATTTTCTAACAGGATGGTTAGCCTCTGGAATGGGTTGCCTTCCGATGTTGTGGAGGCAGTAAATTTAAGGGAGTTTAAGAGAAAGCTTTATAACTGTATGAATGATAAGGGCTGGCTTTAAGATTTTTTTCCACCATTGCCTGGTCCCAAGTCCAGGATGAGAAAGGAGGAGGGTTGGGCGCGGGGCTAGCAACTCCGCCCTGTAAAAACCAACCTGCTAAAAAATTACTGCAACAACAATTTCCGTCGGCGAGGTGTTGTTGGGGCCCTATGCTCCAGTGGGAGTCTACAGGGATTATTATTATTATTTAAGATTTTTTAAAATTTATAATAGTTTAGCTTAAAGGATGGGACAGCCGAGATGGACCAATAGGTCCCTTGTTGTCCCTAAACGTTATGTTATGTTTTGCATTTTCGTTCTTCCTTATTTCTTCATTCCTTTGTGGTTATTATTGTATTTTATCATTGTCCATGCTTTAACACGTTTTTTCTCCTTTCTACCTCTCGTTTACTGCATATGTTTAGTTTCTTCGTGAAATGACATGAATGAACTTGTAAGATGATAAAATGACAGAAAAACAAAGAAATATGTAAATATAGGTGAATTGGAGAAGAGTTAAAAACGACCTACTTAACAACAAACAAACAAATAAACAATAGGCTTTTGTTTATTTGTTTATTGTTAAGTACAAAACTACATAATGGACTATTCTCTTGAAATATTAAGTAAAAATATGACACACGAAAAAAATAAGATCAATGAATAATATTCTTGAAAGGTTTTTATAAAATCGTCATCGTTAATTTCAATAAATTTAAGAGTTGCAGAAACATCCTGAAAGTAGTGATATGTATATAGTTTGCCTGAAAAAAATGCCAATAAATATAATAAATCTGTGTATTTTTTATTGTATTTTGTATTTACGAGAAAGCTATTAAGGTTATCTGCTACGTCCTTAATTTTGAACAATCGACCAGATGGAAGACAGCCTGTCAGCAGCACCCTACCAACCACAGTTCACACTAAGTGGTTGATTGTCACTTTTATAACGCACCCACAGCTTACATTTTGGGGTAATATTTTGTGGGATCGCGCGTATTCCAACCTCTTTCCCCAGCTCCGAAATTCACAACTCTACAATAGGGCAAACCAGCGACCAAAACAGACAAATATATTTGAAATTTCAAATTATTACATATTTTTAAGTCTCGTGGTAAACATATATCTTTAAAAACTCCTTTTGCGTGAAAATGTTATTTTTTTCATTCATAAATAAATAACTTTCATATTTTAAATGCTCAAATTTATTAGTTTTCCATAATTATTATGTTATTTCTAATATTAATTTACTATAATTTTCCGATACGACGATAGGAAATTTTGTAATGGCGCCTTTCTGTGAAGTTAGCTAAGGTGGTAGGTAATTGAAATTTGTTGATGCTTTGTATAAAGGAAAATTGTGGGTGATGTATCATGATAGACTTCCATCCGTACCAGTTTTTGGAATTTTGTAATGTAGGATGGCCGGTTGGCTCAATAGACACCAAGCACTAGAATTTTGTATCATAATTAACACAGCAAAAGTAAAAATAGTTTTGCCTTTTCGCAATATGAGTATTGGTTAGATAGAACTGTTAATGTTACTGTTAGTAATGGCTGTTATTAGACGTAACTACTAGTTTTAGTAGTAGTACTACTACTAAATCTAAATACTGAACTAAATTAGGGATTACTAGTAGTAGTAATACTGTATCGTAGCTATTCAACGTCCATGATCGCAGTGTAAGTTGTAAATGCTAAACCATAGCTCACACAAGATTAAATAAAAGTATAATTTACATTAATTACTAATCAGTATTCCAATCAGAGCATGCTATGTACTTAAATCAAAAGTAAATCTATTTTTCTTACTTAAGTTATAGACCCTAATCAATTTCGATCATCTTGCAAAACACATGGAGTGATCATTAAGAAATAAATAAATAAAATCCCCAATAAAAGCCTAAAAGTGAATATGATAAGATTCAAGAAAGTTCAGTGATAATAAAAATAAGACTTAGAAAAGGAAATTGCAACAGTAGTGAATATTAATTAGCAAAAACTCATGTAACTTAACTAATGATGTAATAATACACCATATATGAAACTGTTACATTGCTGGTATTAACTAACTAATGTAGTCAGAGCTTAAACTAATGGGAGGTACAACTAATGGTGTTAAATATATTTAATATAAAAAAAACAGCTTAATATTACCTTAAGCAGCTTATGAGAAATTAAAGTGTAAATGTGATATTGTATAAAACTTTTCTTGTAATTAGTAGCAAGAATACTGTTTAATTTCCCATAAGATTGAATGAATTTTTTGTGTTGAAAGTTCACCGGTAGGTAGCTTTGAAGTTTTGAAATGTACAACAAATGTCATATTTGCTACTTGCTTACACTGTTATAACCCAGTTTTTTAAATTATTACCTCAATCTTACAACTTTGAAAAAAAAATACATTGAAACAAGTTGTAACATTATGAGCCTTTTTTTTTCACCAACTTCAATTAACAATTGGTGAATAAGTTTGTGTGAACCATATGTATAAACTGTAATCTGTATCAAAAGCTTAACATATAAGTAAAAGGTTAATTTACTGCTAGTTAAAAAGAAAAGAAGTTGTTGATGTAACCATTTCACCTATCGATATATCAAATAAATTGAGCTCGTGTATCCATTTAACAAAAGCTAAAAAATAAAATACATTTATAACATTATCAGACAAAATAGAATCTCATGCTGGAAGCTAATCAAAAATATTTTTGGTCCAAGTTAACATACTGTATATCAAAGTTTAACTTCACTGACATCTCCTTTTTTAAAAGTAAAGTATATATTTCCAACAATCTCATTCCACGAGTCAAACAGACCACCCATAAGAGGACTATCCAAACCATTCAAAACTCTAAACATATGAATAAAGCTTATTTTTAATTCTTCTTTGCTTCATTTGAAACAAGATGGAAACTTTGATACTTTTTTTATTTCATTGATAGTTCTATTTTATAAACTTGGTACCATTCTAGTAGCCAGTGTTTTCAGTATTTTAAAGTTCTTCTTGTAGAAAGGGGATCAAAATGGGTTATATATTAACTGCTTTATGACCATAATTAAAAAGAAGTTAATGATTTTTAGCTATTTACAGTAATATTTGGACTAGCTATTGAGTAATAATACCTATTCATGATTTGTTCTATTTACATACATTAGCTGTTAGATAAATTTTTCTGATATTTTTTTACTATATTTATATGTCTAAAGGTTAAAAATAAGATGGCCCCGGAACCTCCTTCTGTGACTACAAGTCAACGCAAATCTGGGAAAGATCATGTAACTCCACATAAACTTGCTCTTTTGGTCTTGATCAGAGAATTTTGTGTGGTAAAAAACAAAGCAAGAATGATTAATCCATTGCTCGGCCAAACAGATGATGTTTGGGAACATACTAATCTACAGCAACGGGATTTTGCTATCATTACTTTGAAACTTTTACAGGTACAAATTCAATTGTTCAACTTTTGTTGTAAAATAAATATAATTATTATTGCAGAAATTCCAAAACTCTATTTCCATTTGGTTTTAAAACTTCTGTTTCAGTTAAACTCTGTTAGATGTTTAAACATGTGATAAAAAGAAAGTGGCAAAAAAGCAATAAATTCTCATAATCTTTTATCTCAATATACTGTGTAATTATTTTGAAACAAGCCTAGAGTTAAAATATTACCCTAAACAAAAGTAAGAAACTTGTGAACTACTATTTTCTTACATCCTTGAATGATATAAATAAAATTTTGAATATAAGCTACTTGTATTGATACTTTTCTGTGTGTGTGTGTGTGTGCTTTTATGAATATTAGAGTGAGAAATTAAGTATAGTTATCAAATTCCTTGATGGAATAAACTTTCAAAATAAATAATTAAATTTTTTTATTTCTTTAAAATGTACTAGAATTATTGAAAAATATGCAGTAAGACCATATTTTACACATAGTTTGTAAAGAAGAAAGTTTGAAAAATAAAACCATGATAATTGTGAAAGTAACAAAACATAAAGACAACAAGGGATCACTTGGTCATTCTAGACCAGGGGCCTCCAAACCACTTTGACAAGGGCCGGAAGGTAGATCTTTTTAGGCTTTTTAAGTAGAGATGTATATTTTATTTTTTGTTTTTGTAATATTAGAAATTGTATTATTACTTTAATAAACTGTTGGCAAGCAGGATAAACTGAAGTCACGGGCCATATTTTGGAGATTCCTGCTTTAGACTGTCCTTTGCACCTACCATTGAGAAAAATATAATTAACTTACCCTCTATTTTTCAAGAAATCATTCATTCCTCCTGCCCCTTTTACTTAAGCAAATTGGCCTAGTCCACTTCCATATGTAACTCGTTTTGTAAAACAAATATCCCGTTAAAAAATAAAATTATCTTAACTGAAGCCTGGCCTGTCTTTTGCAAATATGAAATGTTTTTTCTCTTTTTCCTGTTGTCTTCATAATACAGCACAAAGAAATCATAGGCTTGTATCCTGTCGACCACTTTGATAATCATTTACACTTCTTTTTTTTCTTTTTTTTTTCAAGAGAAACTAAGTGATCTTAACCTATCCTTGTAAGATAACCTTTCCATTTCTGGTTTATTCCTAGTAACTCTCTTTGAACCCTTTCCAATAAATTTATATCCTTTCTTAGATAAAAATCCCAGAAATTTAGACAGTATTCTAAGTGAGACCTACTTAGTGATGTTTATAAAGAAAGAATTACCTTTGTGTAGTCAATATGTCGAAAAATTCTATTACATTTACTACTAACAACAGAGTGTTGCTTGGATGGCTTATCCATTATTTTGCCAAGATCATTTCTCTTCACTCATGCTATTGAGCTGGTTTCCATCTATATTAAATGTGGGATTCAAATTATGCTTACCTGTAACTTGTAATGAAATGTTCAACTTATTAATTGATCAAGTCATTCTGTAATATCTCAACATCCTCAATACAGCTAGAAATACTCAAGAGTTTAATATCCTTAGCAAACTTTACTAATTATGACCTTGTCAGTATTATTAATATAAATGAGAAAAAGGAAAGGCCCAAACACTGCACCTTCAGGTACTACACTGGTAACAAGGTAGTCTGTATCAAAAGCATAATATATGAATAAAAGGTTAATTTACTGGTAGTTAAAAACAAAAAGGAACAAGTTGATGCAACTATTTCTACATATCCCTTTGCTTTCAGAAATCAAATTAAATGTAATTTTGAAAACTAAAAAGTTTTATTGAAAGACAACGATTATTTTATACACAATTCAATAAAATGAGATTGTTTCCAGTCTCCAAATTATTAAAATAAAATATTAAAATAATAACTTACTGTACAAGGTTAAAAAGTGGTAAAATCCCCGACGTGATTGGAAAACAATCTCATACACTCTACATGTTTAAACGTATATTTTGCGTCATCCTCAGGAGTGTAATGTTTTGCAAAAAAACATTGAACATCACACATGTGCCAAAAAAACATCTTGAAAAAAATTAAATGTAGTTCGTGTCAACATACCTATCTAAGAAAAGTTAAAAAAATAAAATGTATGCATAACATTACCGGGTAAAATACAATCTCAGTGTAACTTAGTTTTGCAGTAATCACTTCCTCAACTATTCCCTTGCGTATCATCCTCATTTTGTGATTAAAAATAAATTTAGCTCTCTAAATATTCAGTATAGAAAACAATCCTTAACTACTTGAAGAAAACTCTCTCCATCCGCACTTGATCCTATACAATCCCAATCAATTTCTATAAAGTCCTATAACAACTTTAAAATAGCTATTATGGAATAATTAATGAGCTTTATTATCATATGAAGAATATTATTATGGGCCTTTAATTGTAAACTGTTTTTGTTTATAGTACCATATTTATCCCAATATAATGCACACTTTCTCTTCCAAATACCTCCTGAAAAATTGACTGTGCATTATATTTGCATATGTTCAATTTTATTAGGTATTTTACTAAAATCTACCATCGAAAATCATTAAAGGTTTCAAAAAATGTTGTATATCCAATGCAATGGATGATGACATTCTGTGAGAATCAAAAGAGGATGAAGCACAGGTTCATGGAAGAAAATCTGATGGTAACAACAATTCTAGCAATGATGAAGATTTGTGTGAAGATGAATGATTAGATTGGTGTGTTACCACATATAAATTTTATAAAATTGACACATAAACAAAATTTCAATCAAAGATTTCCAAAAATGTTTAACATGTAGATAGTTTTCTACTGTATTTAGAGACTATTCAATACATTTTGTACAATTGATGGGTAAAAAAAAAAACATTCCTAAATTTAACCTTTCAAATTGGATGTGCATTATACTTGGGGGAAAATATAGTAATTCTGTTTGAGGATTTGAATTCAGGATTGTGGAAGTTGAAAATTGGATTTGCTAATTTCTAGACTAAGTTATGTTTGTAATATTATTTTAAGTATGTCTCTTTTATAACACAAAGTGTTTTTGTTTTTTCTGATTCTCCTTATTCTTAACTTACAGAGTTGGTTTTTACCAATTGCATGTCTAAGACATTTTGATGGTATTATTCTTAATGTGCAACATTAATTTAGTCTGTGACCACTTTTTTTTGTGGTTTTCTTTTTTGACATGTAATCTTAAAACAGTTAATTGATCTTACATAGTTACGATTGGTGTTTGTGGTACATTGCATAAAGAGATCTGCTGTATGGCTCATCAGCATATTTATTACCCACCTCACAGAAATCTTTGTTTTTCTATTAAAACATACCAACAATATTTCACTGTTTATTCATATGTTAACACTCATTCTGATTATCTGTTATAAAAATATTTAGAGTCCTGATATGGATTTAAAGAGCTTTAATGATATGGTGAAACCTATCCTGCACCCCAGGACTTACCAACAGTTCCTTGAGAGGTAGGTGAAACAAGTAAGCATTGGAAAGGACCAAGAAAGTTGGTAATGAAGCATTCTTTATTTGTTTTCTTTTATTAATTGAAAAACGTTTCAATAAAGGTTTAGAAATGGCAGATGCATCAGGCAAATTTTGTTTTGGAAAACTGTGTTTACTTGAATTATATTTTTGAGAATAGGTTTTGAATTTAAATTTTATAATCTGTATGAATTTAAATATACAAAAAAGCAATCAACAGTTTGCTATTTATAACTTTAATTTTCATATTGCAGATTTGTAGCTTATTATAAGTATATCATATACCTAAATTCTATTAAACTGTTTTATTATAAGTTTGGTTTATTTACTATATATCAGGACAATCAGAGCAAACTTAATTTTTTTTATTATTATTCATAACTGCAAAACAGAAGTATCTGTTATATGAATACTGCAGCACTTACAACATGTTGCTGTTAACATGGTCACAGTAAAACTTTAACACCAGTTGATTATAAAGATTTGGACAATGACTGTTAGCTTGACTGAAAATAGCTTGATGATGCCAACTAATATAAAAGTTTAATTACTGAGAATTAATTTGACTTAATGAGAATGATGTACCTGGTCTTCTATTGGACATAAAAGTACATATAGCATTGTTTGTACTCAGTTTGATGACTGTGGTTATATTTTATTGACAGACATTTCAATTTTAATTGTAACAAACTCTACAAAAGATGACAAGGTCAATCTTAGACCACATTTCTTCAAAATTTTTCACAGACCCTCTACTGTAAGTGTACATCAGATTCCATTTGACCATTTCTACACAGATCAAAGTCTCAAAAGTCCATTGGAGCTACAATGAGGAACTTGATTGATGCAAATTGGATTGCTATGATTTCCATTTCTTCAGCCATCCTTCTCATGAAAGCAGATGTTGATTTCAAGGTGTTGCTGGAACTTTGGCTTGTGAATTTATTTTCATATTCTTCAGTGTCATCTTATCAACTGTGCTTAGAGATATGTCCAGCTTCTTTGCAGTGTCTTTATGGTCATATAGTTTTATTTTATACCATAGTTTTCAAGTTGCAGATGAGGGCATCACACCAGATTGGTGTTTATGGTGCATTACCCTTGCCTTAACAATTAAGTGTTGTTTTAGAGAATGTTGCTCTTCTAAACGTTGTTTTGTTTGAGTTTCTCCCACTTCCATGGGGTATATTGAAACTGAGAATGTTGTGTCCTTTGATGTACATCATTTAATAATCTTGCTGTATGAATATCTTTCATCAGAAAAGGCTGTGACATATTACTCCAGTTATAAGTCTGTCCTGGTGCATTGCACTGTTAATTATTTGAGAATTTGTGTTATGAGCAAAATATGTATCGGTGATGAATGTCACTCGAGGCATATGACTTGATTCTGTGGTTAGATGTCACTGAATTAGCATATGGAAGTCACTCTTATGAAGTGCAGTAAACCCTCTGTGTTCGGGTATATTATACAAGTAATATCAGAACAAGAAATGTATGATTTTTTGGGTTCTATTATGGGCTGTAAATTTAATGGATAATTTTCTACAATGTTTTTGCTCATAGTTCACTTTTATTTTGTTCGTTAGGTTAGAGGAGTTAAAAACTAAAGGTGTAGCTGCAATAATGGATTATTTTGAATCGCTGGAAAATTTACTAGTAGATCCTACTCACCAAACCCCAACAGTTCACAAAAGCAGTATCCTCGGTAAGTTACTGTAGAATATTTATTGAATTTTAAGATTAAATTGTGCATATTCACTTTGTTCACTCTATAGATGTATTTAGCATATTTGTTTTTTACGACCTTTATTGAGGTCAGATGTAATAGTACAAAATATGCTAATAAAAATGTTTTACTGTTAAATAAACATAAGGTTTTTTTATTCAGTGAAAATTTATGACTGTAGGGGAAGACTTAAGATAGCTTTTTCTTTTAAGAAAGTTACCACAGCAACCTTTTTTTTTTTGGTTTCTCATTAAATTATTGTGGTATATATTTTTATCACTTCATACTTTGCTTCAATTATTAAGGGTATCCAGTACATAGAGCTAAGTTTAAAAAGAGCTTCATATGACACTGATGTACTGATTTAGGCACTGCTTTGCTTTCTCATTCATAAGGCAATAGAGCCATGATATCACCTCACACCTTCTAATTTATTTCATAAATAAGTTTAATTGTGCTTGGTTAAATTGTTATATTTAAGGTAATAAATTAATACAACGAAACCTCGTTAATCCAAACACATTTTTAAGGAACTAATTCATTCATATTTCAAGATATCCAGATAGTCAAATCAATCATTTTGAATACAGTGGATGCTATTAATAGCGTGCATTATTGATCAATGAATATAAAGGTTCAAATATGTAAGGATGGGCATGAAACTGATGAACAAAAAGCAACTGTATGTATAATAAACTTATCAGTTTATTATTTTCTATGTCATCAATAATTTAAAAAATTTTATCATCAAAATGCCATTTCGTTATCTTCACATAAAACATCATTTTGCTCAAACCAGTTACATGCTTGCTTACAGAAAATACAAAGTACATAGTAATGGTCATATGTACAACAAATCACTTTCAAAAGAAAGATGTAATCACAGTCAACTTTTAAACTACAGTTTTTTTTTATTTTGAAGGTACCCAGCAATTTTAATCAAATAACTTAAACCATTATCTTTGCATAAATCACTGGTTTATTTGAATCATATGATGACATCGTTTAGGTTGGATCGTATTTTATTCAAACTGACTGGCTCAACTGCTGGATCATTTCGATGACGGATACACTGTCACATGGTGAAAATAATGTCTTCATCTGACAACTCTTGACCAGATGGTTCTGTTGTGTTGATGCTGAACAACTGATTAGCTAACACAGCATTATTACTGCTCAAGATTAAGGTATGAATGCCATAAGCAATCTCATAAATGACTTTGACATCTAAACTGGCTCAAGAGTTTCTGTCTGTTTAGGCAAAATCTTGAACTTTTTGATAGTTTCCATAGTAACACTGGACCAAGTGTAACTTGCCATTTGTGAAACACCATGGACATTTACAGTTTGTGGACCATTATTTTCTTCATGTTCTGTTTACTTGTTAATCACCTGGTGGTGGTAGTAAGGTTTGAATGGCCAAGTTATGCCAGCATCCATAGGCTGTATCACTGATTTGGTGTTTGATGGTACAGTGTTACATTAGACAGCTCTTGATATGGTGCAGCATGACTAGTAGCATTGTCCACAAGGCAAATGAATTTTCTCTTCTTTGAGACCTCCTTTGGTTCAAGTCCTCCAGCTGTCCCGAGAACAATGCTGATGTATTCAAGGCAATCTTATGCCACCTGCAGATTTGCATGGACAGCAGGGTTGAAATCACTTCCAAGGCATCTTGACCACTCAGGTTTCACAAATATGATTGGCTGCAGTTTTTCACTACCATTTTCATTACCACACAAAGCAACTGTTATGTGGTCTTTAAAGTTTTTTTTTATACCTTGAACTTGTTAATTTGCCAAAGAATGACTAGGTTCCAATATACTAGTCTTATCTCAATTGTAGATGTCTGCCAGTCCATATCCTGCCAGAACCTTTCATAGATCTTCTTTACCTACAGTAGTTGCATTTTGATTGACACTTGATGCTTTACCTCCCAGTTTTGTCTTTGATATTCCAAAATGTCCTTGGAAGTGTTGCTGCCATCCTCCGGAATATCCAAACTCTTATGTCAAGCTGTTGTCCAAGCTGATTAGCTTCCTCTACATGCATTTTGTAATTAACATACACATTTCTTGAAGTAACATCACACATCCAAATGTACATAGCTTGCTCCATGTTTGCATGCTTTGAATGTCTTGCTCTTGTTGATTTGAATCTCCTGGAATATTTGAATATTTATCTACTTTACTTTGCTGTGAAGAATGTCAGATTTGTGGACTTGCTTATGAGGACTTCTCATTCTACACTGAAATACCTACTGATGGTATTAAGGCTTGCACATGGATTTGCTTTTTTGTATAAAAAAACATCATGTTTTATTTTGGAGCATTGTAACTTGATGTGACTATAGCATCTGTTCTAGTTTATATGTATATCCCTACTGTGAGGGCTGTTCTCAGAAAAATTGTCATAAACTGGTAGCCAATGTAAGTTAAAGTTGTTCTAAGAAAAACTTTTGTAAACAGATATCCACACATTAGTGCAAATGTTTTGTGGTCAGGAATTATCACCCAGTTTCTTCTTCTTCTGATTTACTGCTACTTTACTGTCGTGAAGTCATGTAGAGATTACCAAATAATTTATCCATAAGAAGTGCTTTTTGTTATAAAAGATATCTGTACAGATTCTGATGGCAAATATATGGATTATTGATTAAATATTCTATGGTGAACATTTGCCTATAAAAAAATAATCCACATTGGTGACATCTGGTCTGGACTAAAGAGATTTTACTGAAAATAATACTGTTAAGTATATACCAACATGTAAGTTAGCTGATTACCAACTATTCAATTGCCAGTAATCAGACTTTTTTTTTCTTTTATTATATAATCTCTATTGATGGCCTTTTGATGCATTTTACTTGCACTTGATCCTGTAAACTCAGTCATGGTTGGTTATTAGATATGAAATATACACATGATAATTATGCAAGAAAAGAACAGTGATAGTATATTAGCATAGTTCATTCATTGGAAGGTTCTTTTAAAGTATCTGGTGAAAATAATTCAAATTTCAGTCCACTTGGTAATAATATGTTATATTATTTCCTCCTTTAACATTCCTACAATCTTAAAAACTTGTACACTGTCATGAATTGCTGTAGGCCTACATAATTCTAACTAACATAAAACAAATCGACTTGTACAAAGTAACCACAATTGCTAACAAGCTGGCTAGTTCACTCTTTAGCTCAAAAATCATTCCCCACACTTCACAACTGTCTTGTATTTATAATCTAACTTCGAATTTGCTAGAACACTTTTTGTCACATTCTTAAGAGTTTTCTAGATGTTCTAGGCCTGTCTTATTAAATCTTCTGATCTTACAGTCATCATTAATACCCATAGTTCCCTCTAGCTAAGATTAAAAATATAGCTTACAACAGTAACATTATGGATGTTTATTAGGTAAATAAACTAAAGTTGTAAACTTTGAAATATTTGTGATTATTTTAAGAAAGTTTCACAAGTTTTTCCATGATTGTAGATGCCTAGATGTTAAGCAAAAACAGAAACATGAGGTAACATAAAAAATATTTAGGTCTGTTATTATTAATTAATAATTTATGTAATGGAATGGCTCAGAATTTGTCAGTATTTTTTAATAATTGCCTGACTTATTAATTGATTGGTGGTTTACAAACAAATTACTGATTATTATATGTAGTGTGTGTGTGTGTTTACATATATTTACACACATAACACACTCAAAATGCATAATGTATTTTTGAGTGAAACAAGAAGTACCCTTATATTTCAGGCTTGTTTATTCGTCGAATGTTTCTAGTTTTTGATAAGTTTACCTTCAGTCATGTGGCCAATGTCCATAGAAAGTTCTGTCAGTATTATACTACTGCTTTTGGGGAAGATCAACAAAACAACTCACTGATTGATGAAACATTGCCTGTGGATGATTCTAGGTGTGTATATATTAAGTGTGTTTTTGTTTAATTAGATGACTTAAAAGAAATTACAAATTCAAGCAACTTTCTGGCCTAAAATATTATGCTATCTGAAAAATTTTTTGGTTATGCTTGTATGTTTTATGCATCCTCTAAGTTTATCCCTTTCCTGACTGGTGAGCACCTTTCAGATATCGAGTTTTAATCGAGTTTTTTTTTTTTATATGAATATGATAATTTTAACTCTATTGCAACAATTTTGACTCAAAAATATTTTAGAATTTTGTAACATTTATACAGAGTATAATTCACAAAGAGATAAAGCTCAAGCTTAAATTTCTGCACAGCTAGAGGAATCTTGTCTGTAAACGATACAATTATAGATTATTTTTTTTTAGAATTTTTCTGCCCATCCCAAAACATAAGTTTATATTTGCTGAGAAACCATCAACCATTCTCTTTCACATACTGTATTAGATACGGCTTGTCTCTTCTCCCTTGTCTGTTTTATAGTGGAGGTTATAGAATTGAGGTGTATTGTCTTCCATAAACTACAAATAATTTCTTAATCATATTCATTTATTCACTGCTTCCTCTAATTATTGCCCCCAGTGGCACAGCGGTATGTCTTCAGACTTACAATGCTAGAATCCGGGTTTCGATACCCGTGGTGGGCAGAGCACAGATAGCCCATTGTGTAGCTTTGTGCTTGATTACAAACAAACAAATCCTCTAATTATATTTTCTTCAGCATCATTACAAATAAAGCTAAATTCTGCCTCTTCATCAATAACCACGGTCTGGCACTTTCAAATTTTTTGTGGCAGTCTTCAGCACACGTGTAAAATCTTTATGATATGAAACGTGGGAAAAATCTTCTTTGGCAAATAGATCTACTACTATTTACTTTTTTGTCAGCAGCTATTTGCATTTACTCTTCCGCACTTTTCATAATGCATTTTACTGAAAATTCTTTACACTTTTATTTTTGTTTGTTTTTTAGTGCAAAACAAGTATGTGTCTGGGGTGAGGGGATAATATTTTGATGAAGAGGAATGGTGAAAGTTGTTTTCTTGAAAGGATGGAGAGTTTCCATTTTGCAAGAACAGCAGTATTTGTAAAAGTTTGATAATTCCACCTGACAGTGCCATGATTAGTTGGGCAAAAACTGTTTGGTAACTCTTCACAATTTTTATTAAGCCTATCATTACTTTTATTTGATGCAAGTTTCCTGATTGCAAGAGAATAACTCATCTTCTCAGTCAGTTAAACTACCTTCCTCTCGTTTCTGCATAAGAGATTTGTATCCCGCTAGCCTTGAGGTAACTCCCTCTTAATTTCACATCATGAGACAAAAGCCATCCACCGGTAGGAGGGTGACACAACTTCCATGCACAGTAATTCCCCCTATGTACTTGTACTAACATTATTCTTTTATGAGGCAAGACAAAAGTGTGCACTGGAAGTGGGGAGGATGAGTGGAAATGTGTACAGAGATGAAGCTTTATCTCAGAAGTTAAAATTTTTTCTAATCTGAAAATGTATTTGGTAATGAATTTACAGATTTGTTAACAGAAGTATGCTTGTAACTAAATAATTTCTGCTGTTTGTTTTTTTAGGGAAATGGAAGAAACTCAAGTGATGGCTTCGCAGAAACAGGCAGAATTCTTCATTGCACAGCAGGTGAGAACTCCCATTTAGAAAATCTTATAATAAAACAAATAACACTTATAAAGCTTGGAGATGGCTTAAATGGGTAAGGAAGGAAATCTTATGACAGTTTCAACATAGTATGTCATACAGATTTATGTTGCTTTATTTTTACAGTTGCTATAATATTTGTTGCTATTTTGTGTTACTATACCTTTTTTCTTACATAATTGCTATACTTAATGGTGATTGGTAATGATGTTGCTTATATTTGTTTCAAAATCTAGCAGCCGTGCACCTGAACATATTTTGTTAGTCTTACAAACATAAAGTATGGATGGAGCAACCAGTGTTTAAATATGATAATTCCTAAACTCTACTTTTTACATTTCTTTTGCACAAACATTTATACCACCAAATAAATCACAGGGGCAAAAAAAGAAATTTTCACTTCACAGTTTTTTGTATAGTTACAGTTGGAATTAATAATAAATATAACCTTTACTACTTATCAGCTATCTTTAATTCATTACAAGTTGCCTTTTTTGTTTCCTGCGAATTATCACCGAGCGTTAGTTAACCTTTCAAGTCCCTATGTATCATTATATGATAGAGTTATGAAGTTGAGACTCCTACTAACTGTAGTCACATTAAATGATGGTTTTTAACTTTTTTCAAACCATAATTGTTATATACAGATAATTTTCACGTGCACTTTGTACTAATGTATGTGGTGGATGTAATCGCTATAACCCAAACCTTTTTAGTTATTAAAACTTTTTCACCATTGACTGCAATTCAGTTTAAAGCTTTTTGTAACCAACATATTTTCTGTCTCCAACTCTGTGACAGAAAACTTGTAAAGGTAACCAGCGGCATTGCAGTATGTCTGCGAACTTACAACGATAGAAACCGGGTTTTGATGCCCGTGGTGGACAGAGCACAGATAACCCATTGTGTAGCTTTGTACTTAACTACAAACAAACTAACCTCCAACAATATTTATTTTTTATGCTTGTTTGTGTGTATACATGTAAATATAATGATAAAACTATGACTCGTCTTATGCACCAGATAATCATTACAATATTTTTTTTTTCTTTCAAGACATTAACAAAAAATAACCTATTAGACAGTATCGCTTCTTATTGATCTAAACGTGTAATAATTAATGCATACAAAATTATATGAACAAGTTTAAACTAATAAGTTATTTATCCCTGTAACAATACCAGGTAGAAGTGCAAAGATAAGACCCGATCAATACAATTGACGACAAACTGAAAATTTTGAGCTGGCTGCCATCTATGAGATTTTATGTGAAACTAAGCCTCATATATGGGCATATTTTTAGTTCATCTCTCTTAGAAAAAATTGCATTACTTATAGAGATTTATAATTTTAATTTTAATAGTAAATCATAAACATAATTGAAGTGGTTAACCTCGTAGGTTTGAGTCTACTTATGATTGGTTTTATTTTATGACATCTTAAAATTATGACAAAATTAAATGTTTACATGAAAAGAACATTAAAAAATATAAAATGTATTACAATTGAAACATTACAACATGAATACATACTTTACATGTATTATAATTGGAGCATTATAACATGAATACATACTTCACATGTATTATAATTGGAGCATTACAACATGAATACATACTTCACATGTATTATAGTTGAAACATTACAACATGAATACATACTTTACATGTATTATAATTGAAACATTACAACATGAATACATACTTCACATGTATTATAATTGAAACATTACAATATGAATACATACTTCACACATATTGCAATCAAAACATTACAACATGAATACATGTTGTCACACTGCCTTTTATGGTACTAGCCCAGCTGTAATGAATTTCAGTAAAAATGAAATCAAACTTTGTTCTTGATTTTTCTAAAACAAATGTTTCAACAAATTATAATATCAACTAATATATTGTATGTAAAGAAAGAAAAAAATTATTTTGTTCTTATCCTTTAAAG